CATCTGCTCCAGCTCATTAACATATTTAATTAAATATAAATTTGAAAAAAGAAATTAATTAAGCCTTCAGCGTGACCAGAATATTAAGCTTTTTTTTTAGGAAAAATTCTTTTTTTTAAGGGTTGAAAAAATTTTTTAACTAAATTTTTAAGGTGTCATTTAACAGATTGATTATTTGAGTGTATTTTAATTAAAAAAAAAAATTTTTTATTTTGTAATTATTAATTTATCAATATATATTCATACGGTCGAACGTGCTCGGACTAAAAGAAAGGATTTATATATAAAAAAAAAATAAAAGCCCCGGTGTTTTATCTGACGTTCAGCGATTTAAATAGACAAACAAAGCATATTCTTTAGGGTATTTTTTAGTCTGTTTTTTTTTTTTATTTAAAGCTCACTTAGACCGACAAAGGAAAGGCAAGCGTGAAAAGTATGATTTATTCGTGATCCCAAAGCGTCCTGGTGTGATTTATATGCAGAATCCTAAAGTAGTTGAATTGAAAAATAACTTTTAAAGTTTTATAAAAATAAAACTAAGAAATAATTATAATGTTCTTTTTTTTTTAAATAAAATTTTTGTAAATAATTAAAGATTTTTTGTAATTTTGTGAAAAATAATTATTATTTTTATATAAATAATATATTTATCTATATTATTGAGAGAATAAGAAAAATTTTGTCTCCAGGGTACATAATTAAGAAATAAATTTTATATATATGTAATATATATAAATATATAAAATATATAAAAATTTGATGTGGGTATTCAAATAAAAGGTCTCGATGAGTATATTATCAGGATGAGCTTATATCCTTTAAAATGTCAATAGTTCTCAAGATACAAGGTAATTTCTTAATTACTGACATTTTTAAAGATATAAGCTCATTCCAATATTACACTCTTTAAGAGCTTACATTTGAGTACCCACATGCATTTTTGATATATTTTTCATATATAGATATATATAATATATATAAATATATCAAATATATGAAAAAATTGATGTGGGTATTCAAATGAAAGGTCTCGATGAGTATATCATCAGGATGAGCTTATATCTTTGAAAATGTCAATAGTTCTTCAGATTCAAATTTATTTCTTAATTATGTACCCTGGAGACAAAATTTTTCTTATTCTCTCAATAATATAGATAAATATATTATTTATATAAAAATAATAATTATTTTTCACAAAATTACAAAAAATCTTTAATTATTTACAAAAATTTTATTTAAAAAAAAAAGAACATTATAATTATTTCTTAGTTTTATTTTTATAAAACTTTAAAAGTTATTTTTCAATTCAACTACTTTAGGATTCTGCATATAAATCACACCAGGACGCTTTGGGATCACGAATAAATCATACTTTTCACGCTTGCCTTTCCTTTGTCGGTCTAAGTGAGCTTTAAATAAAAAAAAAAAACAGACTAAAAAATACCCTAAAGAATATGCTTTGTTTGTCTATTTAAATCGCTGAACGTCAGATAAAACACCGGGGCTTTTATTTTTTTTTTATATATAAATCCTTTCTTTTAGTCCGAGCACGTTCGACCGTATGAATATATATTGATAAATTAATAATTACAAAATAAAAAATTTTTTTTTTTAATTAAAATACACTCAAATAATCAATCTGTTAAATGACACCTTAAAAATTTAGTTAAAAAATTTTTTCAACCCTTAAAAAAAAGAATTTTTCCTAAAAAAAAAGCTTAATATTCTGGTCACGCTGAAGGCTTAATTAATTTCTTTTTTCAAATTTATATTTAATTAAATATGTTAATGAGCTGGAGCAGATGCATGCGTGTATAGAGAGAGTTACACGTCTGTGTAATAAATATAAATAATATATATAAAAAAGCGGAGTTTTCATTATAATGATAATAATAAAAAATAATAAAAAGGTAGGAAGGAAGAAAGAATTAAAGAAATGAGGGTGAACGTTTTTTTCAGGTGGAAGTCAGTGGCCCATTTTAATTACAACTTCATTTATCCACGCTCTTTTTTATTCTTTGTTTTAATTTTTTTTTTTTTTGGAGTATACAAAAACGTTGGAATAAATAACTTTTTATTTTCCGAAAAATTATTTTCTTCTACTAATTAATTTACTTTTGTTCATTCTTTAGGGAAATAAGTTTATTAATTTTACAGTGCGGTCTGTTGGAAAAAAAAAAAAAAATTGTTGCCGAGATTCGAACCCGCGACCTATAAGTTTAATAATAAAAAATTAAAATGGCGATATCTTGGAAACTACTTTGCCGATTTTGACGCAACTTTGTAGGTTAATGTAAAGTAACTGCCCCTAGGTCCTTACAAAATTTCAGGCGATTCTGAGGAACCTGGGGTAAGATGGTCAGGGGAGAAAAATTAATTTTTTTCTAACAAATGACTATAATTCCGGATATTATCGACCGATTTTCGTCAACCAAAGCTCAAATTCTTTATTTTAGTGCTTTTAGTACTCTATGAAGTTTTTTAAGGATCCGGGGTAAGTTGGGTCACTAAAAAATTTACTAAAATCATAAAAAATGAAGTGTTTATCAAAAAAAGTTAAATGTTGACTAAAAAAAATAGCGTAAATAATTCTGACATCCACGTTTTATTTACAGCGGAGTTTATTGTCGCACTTTCATCTCCAGACTCCAGGCCAGCGGCTCCACAGGGTTCAATAGTTAACTCAACTGGACTTTGTTTTATTTTTTCGAAACATTTCATACCGCTGTCAGCCGCCACTGACACTCATTTCAAGTCAAACACACTCGGATTAAATATTACACATACTCAGGTCTTTTTTTCCGCAAAAAGGAAAAAAAAACGGCGAATTATAATAATAATATAAAACAAATTTCCATAAATCAACTCCTTATTTAAAGATTCAACTGTGTGAATTTTACAAGAATATTTCTCTGGAATAATTCAGAGGAAAAAATTTAAATAAAATACATTAATTTCCTAGAAATAATTTAATATCAAATGCTAAGTGATGAATTTTTATCAGATTCGATAAACTTATTGTCGCAATAAATTATTTATCATAAACTTCTTGGGTAAGTTAATGCCTCTTCCGCGTGTCCTCTATTTTCCAGGCGTGTAAACCATGAATTGTTTGCGTGCTTATAATATTTATCCATTAATCATAATGAAAACTCGATGTTAGCCTTTTTACTATCGTCCGTAATTACTCTTATCATTGTTATTATATTTAATTACTGGCTTTATCATTATTATTAAATTGCATTACTCTGTAAGGCTATTCAAATTCAGTGCATTAAATTTTTTTTAGTTGCAATATTCATAAATTATTTACTTGCTATATTTATAATTTATAAATTACTTTTTTAGTTTAACCTTTAGTGATTTTATTAATTTTTAAGTTTAAGAAAAGTTACTGAAAAAAATTAAATGAAAAATATTTTTTTATTATTTGAATTTCCCGGGTAATCAGTGACGTCATTAGAATTGTTAAGTGGCGCCATCCATGGTAAAATTTAGAAATACTAATTTTGGCATAGTCAGTTTTCAAAATAAAAAGACACCCTGATAGCCACCTTACCTATAACTTACTGTCAATCTACGTCCGCAATTTGAAGCAAACTTGACGGAAAGAGTTGGCAAAGCGAGCGATTACCTATTAGTTACCTATAACTTACTCTCCAAATAGACGTCAAAACTTGCTGTACAAGTATTTCCGTCAAATTGTAGTAAAGTTGAAAGGAAATTTAACTATAAGTTTGATTGTTAACTTGTATTCAAGTTGCGGCCGTAGATTTCCGTCAATTTGCTTACAACTGTTGTTGAGTGAAGAATTACCGCCAACTTGATGTATAAATTAACCGTAACTGCTGGAAGTCAACGCTTACTGAGAAAGCGCTGGCTATCAGGGAACTTGTCACCAAGTTGGCGGCAAGTCTTGGAAATGAACTCGGTTGTTCACCAAGTTGTCGCCAAGTTGTCGGCAGAAATTGTTTTCGAAACTCTTTCGTACCAAGTTGACGACTTCCCTGATAGCCAGCGCTTTCTCAGTAAGTGTTGACTTCCAACAGTTACGGTTAATTTATCCATCAAGTTGGCGGTAATTCTTCACTTAACAATAGTTGTAAGCAAATTGACGGAAATCTATGGCCGCAACTTGAATACAAGTTAGCAATCAAACTTGTAGTTAAATTTCCTTTCAACTTTACTACAATTTGACGGAAATACTTGTACAGCAAGTTTTGACGTCTATTTGCAGAGTAAGTTATAGGTAACTAATAGGTAATCGCTCGCTTTGCCAAGTCTTTCCGTCAAGTTTGCTTCAAATTGCGGACGTAGATTGACAGTAAGTTATAGGTAAGGTGGCTATCAGGGCAGTTGTTTTTATTAAATATATTTAATTAAATATTTTAGAATCTTTAATACTAGTGACCTCATTAGAATTTTTAAGTGGCGCCATCGCACGGCAAAATTAAGAAACATTAATTTTGGCGTTGTCAGTTTTCAAAAGAAAAAGATACTGCTGTGTGATTAAATATATATTTAATTAGATATTTTAAGATTTTTAATGATAGTGTCGTCATTAGAATTGTTAAGTGGCGCCGCCATATGGCCAAATTTAGAAACATTATTTTAGGCGCTCAGTTTAAAAAACAGCTGTTTTATTAAATATATTTAATTAAACACAGACATTATTAAAATATCTATTAATTTAAAAACAACTATACTAAATAATAATTAATAATTTTAACAAAATTATAAAGTCTATTAAAATCTCTAAGAACATCAACTTCCTTAGTAAAAAATAAATAAAATCTAAATCCATCTTGACAATTATCATAATCAATCATCGTACCCACCAAAGCGGAACTAAGCCGCGATAAAAATATCTCTCTACCTATTTACCCCCACCCCAATTCAGGCCAAGGTCTTGTTTACGTAACCCAGTTTAATTAAACTTCCCAAGCAATTTTCCGACGATAACACCTCAGTATTTTTAAAATCGTCTGTATAAATACACAATGTCCACCAAAGTAATCTTCACAATAATGTCTCTATTCTCAACAATTCTAATAATCGGTTGCGTGGTTACCTTTACACTAACCTCGAAAACACCCAAACAATGGTGGAACAATTCGTTCATCTACCAGATCTACCCGCGGAGCTTCATGGACTCTGACGACGACGGAACTGGCGACCTCCCGGGAATCTCCTCCAAATTAGACCACATCAAGGACCTAAACGTCTCAGCAATTTGGATATCCCCAATATACTCCAGCCCGATGGCAGATTTCGGTTACGACATCTCCAACTTCACCAACGTGGATCCAATCTTCGGAACCTTGGAAGACTTCACCAACCTGACGACCAAGGCCAAATCCTTGGGTCTAAAGGTTTTGCTAGACTTTGTGCCGAACCATTCATCAGATCAGCACCCGTGGTTCGTCTCCAGCATCAAGAAGATCAAACCATTTGACGATTACTACGTCTGGCTGGACGGAAAGCTGGTCAATGGAAGCTACCAACCACCCAACAACTGGCTGAGTGTCTTTGGAGGCTCAGCTTGGGAGTGGAACCCCGTAAGACAGCAGTACTACCTGCACCAATTCGCCAAAGCCCAGCCGGACTTGAATTACACGAACCCTTTGGTTAGGTCAGAAATGGAGAAGGTGTTGACCTTCTGGTTGGATCATGGTGCAGATGGCTTCAGGATGGACGCGGTTAACTATCTGCTGGAGGATCCGCTGTTCCAGGACGAGCCACTAAGCTCCAAAAGCACCCAGGTTCCAGAAGATGACTACGAAAGCCTGGACCATGTCTATTCCAAGGATCTGGAGGGTACTTTTGACGTTCTGAAGGCTTGGAGGAAGATCATTGACTCCCACAAGAAGGACAAGGAGCCTAAGTTGGTTCTTACTGAAGCTTATGCTGATCTGGAGAGCATGAAGCGGTTCTATGAAGCAGGCAGTGATATTCCAATGAATTTTGCGTTTATTGAAAAGCTTAATGGCAATTCTACGACGATGCAATTCAAGAGAGCCATTGATGCTTGGCTAGGGATGATCCCTAAGGGTCAAGTTGCTAATTGGGTCATTGGCAATCATGACAATCCAAGAGTTGCTGATAGATTTGGACCAGCTAGGGCTGATTTCTTGACAATGCTGACTGCAGTGCTTCCTGGAGTGGGTATTGCGTATTATGGAGATGAAATTGGTATGGTTGGCAGGGAAATGACTTGGGAGGAGACTGTTGATCCCGCTGGGTGCAATGCTGGACAGGAAAGGTTTGGGTTGAAGTCCAGGGATCCTGAACGGACTCCGTTCCAATGGAGTGCGGAGAAAAATGCTGGGTTCTCCGGGGCTAATACAACTTGGCTGCCGGTTAATGATAATTTTGAGGAGGTTAACTTGGCGAAGCAGAAAGTCGAGGGGGAGAGTCATTATAAGGTTTTTAAGAAGATGGTCGAGTTGAAAAGAAATTCAGTGGTGGTTGGTGGGAGTGTAGAGGTTATTTTGGTGACAGAAGATGTTCTTGGAGTGGTCAGAAGGGTTGATGCCGGAAATCCGGTGGTTTTATTAGCGAATTTTAAAAATGAAACGGTGGTTATTGATGCTAGGACCTGGATGAATATTCCGGAGAATTTAAGTGTTTTTGAGGCTAGTGTTGGAGCGGGAATTCCTTCTGGGGTTATTATGGATACTACGGAGGTTTATTTGCCTGCTGAAGCTACTGTTGTGCTCCATTAAGGGTTAAAGGAAATATTGTGGTCTGGCTGATTAATAAAAGTTTTTTTTTGGTTATTATTATTATTGTTCTATAATTGTATTATTATTTATAAAATATACGACAAAATAAATAAAATAGTTTTATTATTAAGAAATTACCCTGTATCTCGTGAATTATTTACATTTTTAGGAATATAAGTTTATCCTGATGTTGCACTCATCGAGACCTTTTATTTGAGTACCCACATCAATTTTTCATATATTTTATATATTTGTATATATTATATATATATATGTATATATGAAAAATATATCAAAAATACATGTGGGTACTTAAATGAAAGCTCTTGATTAGTATAATATCAGGATGAGCTTATATTTTTAAAATATATGTTATATATATTACATAATTAAAAAATGACCTTGTATCTTGTGAAATATTGAAATTTTTAAAGATATAAGCTCATCCTGATGTTACACTCATCAAGAGCTTTCATTTGAGTACCCACATACATTTTT